CGGGAACACCACAAAATAGACTGGGGAAGTTAAGGCACAATAACATTCAATCAATTGGACAAGTTTATCATGAGCAACAACTGTTCTTACATAGAGATGCGTAAGACATGGATTCAGGCCACAAAAGGTACTTGGGGAAGGGAAGGGAATACACAAAGAATAGGGAACAGCAACAGACTGTAATTAAGTGCAAAATTGCATACGTCCAGAGTAAAGTCAACTTTTAGAACCTCTGGGCTAAGACTAGACAGTTAATACTAGGGCTGGATAACCAATTCTGGCTCACCCATGGTGACTGGAGAGTCACCTGGAGGCCATGCCTGAGGAGAGGAAAGAGGGCTGCAGGTCTGGGAGTCAGGCCCACAGATCCCAGATGTATTTCTGCCAGAGTACCTTCTTCCCTCTGCCTACCCTTCCTGAAACGGACCCTAAAACCTTGTAAACAAGGCAACCCCAGATGGACTCCGCACTTCCCAGCCCTACAGAAAATGTTCTGAGAGGGAGCCGGGAACTAGAGCAAATCTCCCAGGAGGAAGTGGGCTTAGCAGACCCACAATGTCATGGTTGATACCTGAAGTTTAAAGCCTGGACATATTTGCAAGTTAATGAAGATGTGAAAAGGGAGGAGCGGAAAGGCTGCATTGAAACTCAGGATTAGAAGGGGAGAGGGGACTGCTGCAACAATTACGGCAATAATCGTTCCTTGAATTTGTATTATGTAACAACCTACAAAAAGTTTTCTATATTCCTGAACTTTCACATTTCCGTGTAAGGGGAGGGGTTACCCCCATTTTGCTGGTCTGTTCAAGGCCAAGTTTGAATGGAAGGCAGGGTCAGCTCCCTAATCCGCATCTCCAGTTCCTCCTGAGGAACCGCTAGAGTGAGAGGACAAGTAGGGCAAGAGACCCGGAGATGGTCGAGGGGCTAAAGCAGTGGCAAAGGGAGAGGTGGAGGGATTGAGAGGTGTGAGGACTGAAAACTCTGTCTCTTTTGGGATTCGTTTGGAGCCACCTGGAAGGCGGTGATTTCAGCCAGGACACGCGCTTTTGCGGACTGTAGGGGGTTCGCTAAGTCAAGCCTCCCTGGGAGCCCCACGGAGGGTGGGAACGAGGTGGCGCCGCCCAGTCCCGGACGCGCGTCGAGCGCCCTCTGCCACCCCACGCCGCCCTGCCCAGGGCGAGGGCAGAGCGGGCCCGCCCAGGTGAGGCCGGGGGTTGGGCCGGAGCCCGGAAGGTGCGCCGCGCCGCCCCGAACCTGTCCCCTAGGCCTCCCCCCGCGTGAAAGTGAAAGTGTCGGACCCGAGGAGGTCAAGGATAGGGGGGCGGGGCCAGCGCGGAGCTGGGAGCGGGCGCCGGGCACTCGAGGGGCCATGGATGGGCTCGGCCGCCGCCTTCGAGCCAGCCTGAGACTGAAGCGCGGCCATGGGGGTTAGTGCCTGCCGGGGAGAGCGCGCGGGGACGGCGTGGGCATCGGGGAGCCGGCGGCTGGGGCCCGGGGGAGGGCGGCACGGGGCGTCGAGATCCGGGAGCAGTTGGAGGGGGACTCAGGAGGCTGCGCGGGGGCAGGTGAGCGGGAGGGAGCGCGGGGAGAGGGGAAGAGGGTCAGGTGGGGGCGGGAGCGGGACACGACGGCTAGGCCAGGCCTGCGGGGGCGAGGGGGAGGCGGCGGGACACAGGAAACCGTTGTGGGGCCCCGGGGCCACGTGTCCTTCCATCCAGGAAGCTTGTGGTGCAACCGCAGTGTGCCTGAAAGCGCCCCGGTTGTGGTGCCCTCCCAGAGGCACTGCCTCAGCTCCCGGCGTGCCCGCCGCCCCACCCCATCTCGCCGCCCTGGGACTCCTCCGTGGCCTTTGCCCAGTTCCTGGGAGCCAGCACCCCTGCCCCTGCCCCGCACATAGCCACCGGCCACAAACACAGGTCTCCTCGATGACGTTACCACCCCCGCCCACCTGCGGCCAGGTGCCCTTCAGAGTGTGGCCTCCAGCGGAGCGGCGGTAGAACCTGCACAGCTGCTGCTTTCCAGCGTGTCGCCCTTTCTCTCAGCCCCGCAACAGTGAAATGGACATAATTCCCCCGTCCAGGATTATGGGGATTAAATTAGAAGTCAACTGCTAATTTAAAGCAGCAGCTTCTTTTCTTTCTTAGCAGAGCCCTGGGGTTGGAAGGAGAGCAGTTAGAAATTCATTCATTTATTCATTCCTTCGGCAAATATTTGTGTGGCTTACCACTAGCCAGTCCTATGGCTGAGCAGCCATGACCCTTAGATACTTTGCCTAGAGGTCCTACCGTCTGAGGAGCAAAGAGTGGATTAGAAAGTGAGCAGGGGCCATTCCCAGACAGCCTGCCCTTTCCAACATTGGCACACCAAGGAGGCCAAGTGAGCCCCTCTCTTAGCCCAAGCCCCAGAGTTGGGAAGACCTTAGGGAGTGAGGTCAGTGTGCCCTTCTTTGAACTGCAGTGACCTCTATGAGTGTTCTGTTCTTCATCCTGTTGCCATTCCTCCTGCCACACCCTGCTCCTTCCCCCTTTGCAGTGTCCTCTCTAGACACAGATCTCCAATATCTGGCCATTCCAGCTGCACCATCAGGGAGAGGTCAGAAACCACAGTTTGGGGCAGAGGCCTGGGACCATGCAGTGGTGAGAGCAGAAGGCAGGATGAGGCTAACATTCTCTCTTCTCTGGAGAGCACTGGCCTGGTCTGTCCTCACACAGATGTCCCAGGGTCTGCCCCCTGCAGCCCAGAGGAGACATTCCAGTTGTTCCCACCCACCCCTGCCCCAACACCAGGCACTTCCTGATTGTGCCTGAAGGAGCTTCCTGATACTGAGGAACTGTAAGAACTGAGGCCTAATACTTTTCTGGCCAGGAGCGTGTGTCCTGTTCATCTTCCATACCATCCTCCACCTGCCTGGGGATTCTCCCCCTTCCTCTTTGCCTTTCTGGCCCCAGGACAGTTGCGTATTAGGAGGGAGTGTGTGTGTGTGTGTGTGTGTGTGTGTGTGTGTATCCTGGTGACAAGGAGTGATGTGGTGGTGGTCCTGGCTTGAGAGCACCTGAGCTGGAAGGGGTGGGCCAGCTTCCCAGATTAAGGTTCCAGAAGGTCCCCTCACCTATATTCTGGACAGATCTGGGACTTCAGTCAGGTGTCTGTGGGAGAGGCTTTCTGGTGGAGGAACAAGTGTAACCAGATTCCTGACTTCCCTAGAAAAGGCGACTCCCTCCTCAACTAAAACTCAGGATAATAATTCCTTTCTAGGGCACTGGAGGTTAAATGAGATACCTTATATGAAACATGAGTTTGATGGAGGTTAGTTTTCTCTTATGCTTTTCTCTCCTGTGGATAACCCCTTTTGAAAGAGGGGAGAAAACAGTCTTTTGCTGCATTTCTTGGGCCTCATCCCAAAAGTCTAATTACTTTTTTTTGTCAATGATTTCTTAATTTTGCTATTCTCTTGGCTTTCCTGATAAAGCAGAAGAAAATGATCTGAAAATGCAGCCCAAAGGATTTAGGGAAAGGCATAATTTCGTTAGAATCTGGAAATGTCAGTGACAAGATTCTGTTTCTCAATGTCCTTTGAAAACCTCTGTGGGATATTTGATGTCAAATGCATCCAGAAGGCAGGAGCATGGATGTGGAGCTTTCCTAATCCCCATTCCCAACAAATCCTGCCAATTTTAATAGCCTTTGAATTACTTTATGCCTCAGTGTCCCCATCTGTATCAGGAAGATGCTTGTTCCTTAGACAGGTGGTAAGGCTTGTGCAACAAGTCTGTGCAGCTTGCAAGTAAGGTGTGGTGCCAGCTCCAAGTGTTCTGGTTTGCTCTTCTCACACATTACAGCATTTGAACACCTTTCTTTACTGTAAATGAGTTTGGCCATCCATGAGTCCTGGCTTTTACTAGTTCCACAGAAGCCAGGTCTAGAGCTCTTAGGGGCAAAGCAGCTGTTTTCCCTATCCTAGCACCCCACTCTCTTCCAGAAGGCTGCTTATTCTTAGTAGGAGTGGCAAACACTGGCGCCAACCCCTTTTGCCCCCTGCTTTCCCTTTGAGGCAGCTTTCTGGCAAAAGCTTTCTCTGCATTTACTCATTCAGGGGTTTCTGTGAGAATCCAAGGTGATTTTTTGCTATTCCTTCTCTCTTACCTAGTCTCCAGACACAGCAGTGGGCTAGCAGCTCTGCCTGTAGCTTGGGCAGTACGGCTGACCTGGCCTGATCCAGAGGAAGGCTGAGCAGGCGTGGGGGTTGGGTGGAGATCACCCGGATGCTTTCCACTGCCACACAATCACCCTCAGGCTGCTGGTGCAGTCAGTCCCCTATCTTGAGCTGGTGACAGTCTCCTGAGCTAGTGCTTCCTATTTGAGAAGAGGGACTCTGCTGGAACCCTGGAACAAGTGCCAGTGACAGAACTCTGCATCGGGTGAAATTCACCGTTGTAGCTATTTCCCAAATATCACGAACTCTGGGCTTAGAGATGGGTTTTGCTCTTCACTGCACCATCAGGAAAGGAGGCTATTGGATATTGACTTCCAGAACTCTTTCTTTTGTTGTAAGAATTAATCTATTTGGATAATTATTAGGCCAAGTCTATTTATCTCAATCAGGAGAGGACAGTGGCATCCCGGCTGCAGAGAGTGTTTGGGCATGTGCTCTAGGTTGGGATGTCCTGGAAGTTCTAGAATTCAGCAGGTGGCCCTGCTGGGGTTTTTGACTTCCATTGACCAAGTTGAGAAGTGAAAGGTCAACAATCTAAGTGATGGAGATATAGGATCCCTATCCTGAGACCAGCCAGTTTCCACTGCCCACAGTCTGACGCTATCCACTGTTGTCCACTGTTCTAAGATTGTAAATAAACTCTCTGCACAATCTGCAGCCCAGATTCAAAATCCTTAGCCCAGAAGTAGCCAGACCTTTCTGGCTTCTTTCAGCCAGAGGTGTTTGCTCTTGACCTTTTCTCTCGCCACACCCTGAGGCCCTTGGGAGGAGCTGAGATCTGCACTGCAGTGCCAGGATGCTGACTCTGTTGGTGCCGGCTGCTGCTGCCTTCCTGGGTCCCGTCACATCCTTCTTGCTCAACTACTGGGTGCACAGGATGGAAACTTCTCTCCCCTCTCTGGAAGACAGCGCGTGGCTTGGCTTCACGGAGTTGTGGCTGGAGGCTGAAGCAGCCCCTTTCTCAGGCTTTCTGTCACCAGTCTGTCTGGGTTAGGGGAGAGGGGAGTGCGCTCTGTCCTGAAGGCCCAGAAATGGAAGGACAAGTGGTAGGCCGGGTGTTCAGGCTCTTCCGACGTCGAGCAGGTCAGGACTGGACTGCCCACTTCCTTGTTTTTAGGGTGACCCTCTTAGGCGGGACTGTTTCTTCTTTGAAATACTCCTTCCTCCTCTTACTTTTATATCTCGGCCTCCACATGGTTCCCCATGTGACTGGGCCAGGAGGCTTCCTCTGCTGGTTTTTAAGAACTGGTCATGCCCTCTGTGGGGCTAGTGTGGTCACAGTCACATGCCCTTTGTGCCTGTTCTTATTCACTTAGTATGACCTAAACTCTCAGGCCATATTGTTCCAGGATTGCCAGAAGCACCCTACAGGTTAGGCAGTGTCTGTGGCACCCTGGGGCCTTGGCCTCCATGCAGCCTCTCCAGCACATTTCCGTGGCTTCTGCGTCAGTGTTTTCTTTCCTCTGCTTGGTTCCCCATGGTTTCAAGTCTACCAGGGCAGGTGTGGAAACTGCCCATTTGGCCCTGATCCTGAGTGACTGGTGGTGCTGGCCAGTATCCAGGTATCTCAGCATTGGCAAGGCGGCCTTGAGGTGTGGAGGTCACCCAGATTCTCACAGACTCCACTCCAGGAATGGATCGATGAGATTATACTAAATGGGCTCCGGTGTCTTGGTTTCAGGACCGCCCCAGGACAATTCGGGGGAAGCTTTAAAGGAACCAGAAAGGGCCCAGGAGCACTCTTTGCCCAACTTTGCTGGGGGGCAGCACTTCTTTGAATACCTTCTTGTGGTTTCTCTCAAAAAAAAGCGTTCACAGGATGATTACGAGCCTATAATCACCTACCAATTTCCCAAGGTAAGGACTGAAGGAGGGGCAGGGCCAGTCAGAGCACTAGGGTGTTTGGAAGGTGGTAGGGGTGGGGGTTCTACCTCCTTCTCCCCACCCTACCAGGGCTTGAGCCTGGAGCTGCCCTGAGCTCTGAGCTCGCTGCTCTCCATTTCCTTCTTAGCACAGCCCCAGTCCTCTGTTATCACCCACAGGATCTAGGTCTAACTTCTTTGTGAGGGACTGACCTAGGCTTCCTAGCAGGGAAACTAGGCTAGATATTTTGCCTTTTAGGGGACCTCATAGGTCTTCCCAATCCCATTTTCGGTCACCCTTCTCTGTAGAGAAGCTTACCTTCTGCCAGACCTCCTAGAATAAATCCCCTCTCTGGGATGTGTGGGAAGGAAAGAGTGGGGCAGTCATGTAACTGGTAGGCAGGCACAGCCCTCTTCCCGAGCCCAAGCATCAGACTCTTTCTTGTCTGATCCTGCACCAGGTAGAGGGGTGGGAATCCTCATTAACCCTTCTCATTAGGAGGTGTGCCAACTGAGCTGGCCGCTTCTCTTCTCTGATGTGGTGCCTCTCTGATGTTGTCCTCTCAGAGGCCTGGGTCATTTCAGGGCCTTTCTATATTCAACATGGCCCTGTCCCCTTTCTATGTAGATCCTCAATACTGAGGTCGAAGTCAAGCTTATGTCGAGTTGACTGAGGAGGGGCTGTTTCAGCTTTGGAGTTGTTCCAACCAGATCCAGAATGCAAACTGTGCAGAGTGATGGGCAAAGGCACCCTTCACCCCTATGCTAGTGGAGAAGCTTATCCCTAGACTGCTTTAGAGCCTCAAAGGAAACCCACCAGCTCTGAAGCCCTCTCCTCCTACCTCTGCCCCCAGCTTCACATCCACTTGTCTTTTCCTTTTCCTTGTAGCGGGAGAACCTGCTTCGGGGTCAGCAGGAGGAGGAGGAGCGGCTACTCAAAGCTATCCCCTTGTTCTGCTTCCCAGACGGGAATGAGTGGGCATCACTCACCGAGTATCCCAGGTAATTGCTCAGCCTTGAGCAAGGGTATTGGATTTGGAGAGAAGGAACATGTGTGAGTTCTGTGGCTCCTGTAGCCTTCCTCACTGTTGTCATTTGTTGATTTTCAGCCCAGGAGTGTAATCGATTCATTTGAAAACATCCGGCCTGGGGTCCCTCAAGGCCAAGGATATTAGCTATCAGTTTGATCAGTCACTTCTGTCCAAAGAGCCAGATTCTCCCACCTGTCTTAGAAGCAATAGTTACTGCTTTTAATTCTGCTACTGGCCCAAGCTGGACTTAGCAGAAAGCAGTTAGTCTCTAAGAAGGCGATGTAGCAAAGACCCTTCTAGCACGAGCCCTGGAATTAGACTGCTTGAGCTTTGACTTCACTATTTATGAGTTGAGTGACCTTGAAGAAGAAGCACCCTCTGGCCTTAGTTCCTTCATCTTTAAAGTGGGGATAATAACTGAACCTGCCTCAAAGAGTTGTTTTGACAATTAGATGAGATGATGTGTTTAGGGCTCGACACCAGTGAGCCCTTACTCCTATGATTAATCAGCAGTTCCGCTTTGCCCTCCTCTCCACCCTCTAATCCTGACCACTTTCCTGTTTTAGAATCCAGTGAGCAATGCAAATCAAGCCTTGTCTGCTCTTTCTTAGGGAGACCTTCTCCTTCGTTCTGACCAATGTGGATGGGAGCAGAAAGATTGGATACTGCAGGCGCCTCTTGGTCTGTGCAGCTCAGAACTGCCCCTTCCTTTCTGCAGTCTGCTCAGCTCCATGGCTGGGCTTGCTCAAGCCTTAGCTGTAAAAGTCCAGGCTTGTTGGCAGCACCAGTTGTAGAGAAAGCACAGCCCAGGAGCTTCTGCCATGCTAGTGCTTCCTCTGCAGCCCCACAAGCATGAGGACCTGATGCCCCTTCTCCCCCTGCTGGTCAGGCTCTGGTCTGTGCTCTCCCCGGCTTTTGATAACTTTACTCTTTGTGAGAGGCTCCAACTGACTCCTCTCCCTGCTGCTCTACCCAGGCCTGCTTACCTTGGACCCTGGAGCCTCCCAGAGCAGAGGCTGGGATTTGGACAATTGGTTTCAAATCTCAAGTCTCAGGAGGATTCCCCAAGTCACCTTCACAGTGCTTTCCTCCTTAGCCATTTCTTCATCTCTAAGGCACACTTGCTTCCCCTCTTTGCTGACCCCAGATTGTGTTGGCACTGAAGGTGGCAGCACTTGCCCACCAACTCACTCAGTAGCCTCAAGGATTTCTTCTTTTGGGATTTCTCACCAGGGGGTGGCCACTCTGACCTCCCTGCTGCACCCACCATTCCCCATAAATTCCCCCTCCCCAGCCCTCAGCCTTGTGCTCCTTCATACCAGTTGGGAGAAACCCTTGGGGAGGCTGCAGCACTGAAGAAGCCTCTCTGTCCCTCCCCAGCCTGCCGGCCCTGGCCCTCGCCTTCCCAAAGTGTACTGCATCATCAGCTGCATCGGCTGCTTCGGCTTGTTCTCCAAGGTAGGGATGGAACAGGATTCCTCAGGGCCTGTTTGTCCTGCCCATCTTCCAGGCTCTCTCTGGCTGCCAACCCTGCCTGTGCAACCTAAGTCCTTAGTGGAGCTCTTCTCCCATAGCCAGAATCAGCTTTAAAGTACACTTGGGAAAACTGAGGCAAAGGGGCATGCACTTGACTTAAGGGAAAAGTGGAAATTGAATCTAGGGGACTGGACTCCTTGCAGAGACAGCTACTGTTCCCGCTCTAGCCAGGTAAGAAAGTAGCTGAAGTAGGACAAGGGGAAGAAACTTCTTCCCCGAGTTTCAATTTCCTCATCTGTCAAATGGATATAATAATCTCACCTTCCTATCTCACTGGGTGGTGTGAGGTATAAATGAGGTGATATATGGGAAGACTCGTTATAAAAGGCAGAGCACTAAACAAATATGAAGGAGTTATAAGACCCATTCTGACTCCTTCAAGGGTAGAAGAACAGTTGAGATCCCCAGGACTTCTGCTGGAGCTAATTTGAGTGCCAGTGCATCTGAGTCAGGATTTGAGCAGAATCCATGGGGGCCATGCCATCCATTGGTGACCAGAAAGGACTTCATTATGCTCTGATCCCAGCAGGACCTTTGGAGGAGGAAGGGAGGAAACTCTGTCAGTCTTTGCTTGGGTAAAGAATTCCTTTGTGCAGTGTTCCTAGGGATGGAGGCAGTCTCTGACCCCGGGAATCTATAGTGGGAGTTGGAGGACAGAGTGGTACCAAGAGGCTTAGGCTTCTAGCCTCCTGCTGCAACCAGCATGAGTGGACATGGTACCATCATGGGTGGTGAGTTTACTCTGGGATGACTTCCCAGGGAGGTGCTTTTATGTTGGTGTTAGGAGAGGGGAAGAATGTGGATTGGTAGAGAGATAATAAAAAGGAAGCTGGAAAAAAGCAGGTCTTACATGGGAAATAAACTGCAGATTATTTAGCATGAGCCCAGCCTCTGCCAGGGAGGGAGAGACCAGTTCGTGGAGGGCCCTAGAAGATACATGAGGACCAGCTGAACCAGTATGGGAACATTATGATGCTCAGGGGCATGTAGAGTCTCTGCCACCTGCCCGATAGTGTCCCTTTGAGCTGTGCCTCCCGTGGTTCTTTTCTCTGCAGATCCTGGATGAAGTGGAGAAGAGACATCAGATCTCCATGGCTGTCATCTACCCGTTCATGCAGGGCCTCCGAGAGGCAGCCTTCCCTGCTCCTGGGAAGACTGTCACTCTCAAGAGCTTCATCCCCGACTCAGGCACTGAGGTGGGTTAGCAAAATGGGTGAGACTGTCCCTAGCTGGAGAGGGTAGGCATCTGTGGCACCTCTTACCACTGTTCTTCCATTAACCAGGTTAAAGTACAGAGAAACTGAGCCAGATGGGGACTAGGACTTGGTTAGAATGAACAAAGTTGAAATCAAGCCCAAATTTTCTGATCCTTCTAACTTGATACCCACAAGCACCTAGTTACTGCTCAAGCCACCAAGACTTTTATTTATAATAAACAAACCATGTAAGTTGAGGCTTCTGGTGCTATAAAGGGCTTTTCCCTCAGCCCCCAGACTGCCAGTTGCCCCCACCCCCACTCCACTCTCCTTTGTTTGTCGTGTCTCTACCTTACAGCCTCCATCTGTCCATTTCTTATCATCCATCCCCACCCCCGAGTCTCCACCCATGCCTGGGGGAATGCTGTTGTTTTAAGGCAGCAAGCACACTGAGGCAGCAGGTAGAACACTGTTCTAAGAATTCCAGTCCTGACCCCTGGAACTCTGAATAGTCTCTGTGCCCCTTTAAACTTGGCTTCCCCACAGGAAAATAAGGGGAGAGGCTAGAAACTTTCACTTTCTAGAAAAATTAGTACTGAATGCTTGCTGTGTGCCAAACTATACCATTTTCTGGGAATACAGTAGTGACCAAAATGAATGTGGTCCCTGACCTTTTGGAGCTATAAGTCCACTGGGGAAGACAGATGTTAAATAAACACACCAGTGCATGTTGAATTAGAAATTATGTAACTGGGATGAAAGGAAAAAAAAAACACATGGTGCTACATAAGAAGAAGATGGGAAAGTATCACACGACCAAGGTGGGGGGGCCTCTGTAACCTGAAAGAAGGTAAGAATGAAGGGAGCAGAGCAGTGCAGGAGGAGGGCCCCCACAGTAAAGGCTGCAGGCAGAAAAGATAGAATTGCTCAAGGAACAGAAGCCCATGTGCTGAAGCGCAGTGAGAGAGCGGTGTGTGCTCAGGGAGGCGAGTGAGGGAGGATGCGGGACGTTATGGGCCATACTCGAGATCACATCACTGCTGTCCTCCAGCCAATTAGCAGGGGAAAGAGAGACAGGGTCAGATTCACTCCCTGGGGAAGGAATAGAGGCTGGTAGAGGCCCAGCACTCTGGGGTCTGCACGATCTTGCAGTGTAGTGACACCTTCTCTCTCTCTGGTTTCCCCACAGTTCATTTCACTGACACGGCCCCTGGACTCCCACCTAGAACATGTGGATTTTAGTTCTCTATTGCACTGTCTCAGTTTTGAACAGATACTTCAGATCTTTGCCTCTGCTGTGCTGGAGAGAAAAATCATCTTCCTGGCGGAAGGTCTCAGGTGGGCCCAGCCCCTGAACTGCTCACCTGAACTGCCCAGCATCCCTGAGTTCAAGGGAACAGACTGGAGGTTATCCAAGGAAAATGGGCTGTAGGACCCATGTGCCCACCCTCCTGTTTCTAGCTCCTTGTTCTTTAAACCAAGAGAAACAGCTGTTTTGAACCACCCAAACTGCCTCTTCCTCCACACAGGACTGCTGCCTGGGCCTGAGGAATGCTCCTGACTTAGCTAAGGGAAGGACAGGAAGTATTCCTGGGACAGCTCAGGTGGGACCAGTTAGGGTGGATGTAGACATGATTCTGCCCTTGCAAGGCTGAGGGAGGGTGGAGAACAGGGCAGGAGGTAGATACTCATTCAACAAACATTTATTCTGTGTCAACTGTTTGCCAGATGCCGAGCATGGGGAAATACAAACTTCCCTTCACCTGAAGGGGATGCAGAATTATATAGTGGTTGAAAGCACAGGGATTCAGCAGACTTAGGAGGTCCAAATCCAGTTCTTCTACTTTTAGCTATGAGGTTCCCCTTAAGCTAGTTTGTTAACTTCTTGAAAATGGAAATAATGATTGTGATTACCTCATAAGGTTGTGGTGAGGATTAGATGAAATAATGCACATTAGGTACCTAACACCCTGCCAAGCACATATTGCTGAATGCTAGCTGCTATTCTTAAGCCCACAGTTGAGTATATCCCTGTGTGTAGTGGAAGCAGGGTACTATTGTGCCATAGTCTCTACCTCTTAGGGGCTTCAGATCTGAGAAGGACATGGGGAGACGTAATAGAATGGAGAATGAAAAAAGTCATAAAACAGTAGGGGTGGGGTGGACCTTCTATTCATATCTGGGGAGGCAGAGAACCAATGATTTTAGGTTGACAACCCTGCTTTTATCTTTTAGGGAAGAAAAGGATGTTGAGGACTCAATAGAAGTCAAAGGGTCAGGTGAATGTCATGGGTTTCAGAGGAAAGGAAACTTGGGCAACCAGTGGGGTCTCTGTGTTGAAGATTCTGTAAAAATGGGTGATAACCAAAAAGGAACTAGTTGTAGGTAATCCTTGAAGGGAGTGACATCATATTTTGCTTTGGAAACAGCTCTTTCACTCCCAGCCCTGAATGGAAACCAGAAGTTCCTGTGTGGCTAGAGCTGGGATTCTGCCTTTCCTCCTCAGATCAGTGTTTGGAAAGTGGAGGTTGGCAGGATTTACCTCTCAGACGTTTACTTTCTTCAGGGAAATCCTACCACTCCCCACTTCCTTCCCACACTGAGTTTTTCAGCTCCCTGAAGCTTAGCCAGGGAGGGGACTTCCAGTCAGCTAGCCTCTCAGAGACGCAATTTTGCTAATTCAGGAAGTGCTAGCTTGAAACCCAGAATTGAAACAAGGATTCCCGCATCTGTGCTTTTATTGGCCTTGACTTTGAGGCAATTTGGCTGGAGGAAAGAGCCATGAAAGCCAGGGGAGAAATGAGAAGACAGAGAGTGGGACTTTGTGTGTGTGGTGGCGAGAGGAGTAGGGTCCAAGTTGTGACTTGGGCAGGAGTGACGAGAAATGCTCCACTGGAAAGTCTTGAGGAGCCACCTTTGTGGGACTTTCCGTGTAGGAATTGCTGGGCAGAGGTTCTTAGAACCTGGGAATTTCCCAAGCTACTCAAGCAGCAACCTGGTAATCTTTAACACCCTTGAGTGCCCAGAGGGTGCTGTGTGGGGGCAAAGGCTGGGGGTGAGGTTGGCTAGACATAGGAAGGTAAAAAGGCTTTGCCTCTCGGCTGAGCCTCCAGTGCTTACTTAGTTGTTTGTTTCTTAACTACACTGCGAATTCCTTAAAAGCAGGGTCAGTGTCTTGCTCTTCCTGGTATCCACATCTGTGAGGTAGGCTCACAGCTGTGAGCACAGGATAGGGGCTCCATCAATTATCTCCTTGAATGAAAGCAACTCTTCTTCTCTCTTCTCTTCGGAGTCACTTTTATTTTTGGCCAGTAGTAAGTTGAGAAGACTAACTGGGAAAAGAAGGGTCAAATCGAGGTCCCCCTCTTGCTAGTGAAGCCTCGGCCTCTCTAGTTTCTGTCCCTCCCTCCCAGCAATGTACATTCAAGCTCTGAGACCAGCATGGCCCCCAGACTTGCCTTTCTGCCATGGGCACGGGCAGCACTGCTGTAGCTGCTGTTGGTGGTGGGCGATGACAGGTGTGTAGCATGGAGGTGCAGGGGCCTCCTGACTCTCATCCTCTGTGCTCTGTCCCAGCACCCTATCTCAGTGCATCCATGCTGCTGCCGCGCTGCTCTACCCCTTCAGCTGGGCGCACACCTACATCCCTGTTGTCCCTGAGAGCCTTCTGGCCACCGTCTGCTGCCCCACCCCCTTCATGGTTGGAGTACAAATGCGCTTCCAGCAGGAGGTCATGGACAGCCCTATGGAAGAGGTATGATGTGGCAAGAAGAGTACATGATTTGGAGCCAGGTAGACTGGGATTCAGATCCCAGCTCTGCTGCTTACAGCTGTGTGATTAGGGGCAAGTTACCTTACCTCTTTAAGCCTGAGCTTTCTCATCTCTAAAATGGGGATAACAGTGGTCACTTCCTAAGGATTCTGGGGGAAACCACCTGCATAGAGCTTCTAACCTGGCACCCAACACACAGTTGATGCTCAATAAACGCAGGCTCCCTTCTGAAGGATTTCCCTTTAGGCATAAGGCGCAGCAGATAGCTTATTCAAGGGTGATCAGACTGTTCCATGCCAGCTGACCCTGATGAACAGTCTTCGGGGTGTCCCATCTCATCCAAATGGATGACACAGCTGGTCTATACAACACACACCCCATTGGAATGTATTTGAATTCCTTGGAAGTGAGCTAATGTGGCCCTCTGGCAAACTGTGAGTCTTAAGAATGCAGCAAGTCATCTTTCTGAGTAGCTCAGAGCTAAATGGGTTAATGAGGATACAGGTCTGAATCCTTTTTCATTTTGTTAGCTTCTTACATCTTGGCAGTGCCCCAGACAAACCAGAGGACTCAGTTGTGAAAATGGGCATTAAAAGCATAAATCTATCCCCACTGTTGGAAAAATAACTCAAAGCATGTGCTTTAGAGTGGTCAGTAGGGACTTTCAAAAGATAGCATGTTGTTATATCTTAAGCCAGAAGAGGGACTTGGGAATATCTGCCCTGGCCATAACCATTGACTCATTCCAAGAGATTACTGAGCTCCAGAGACTTATCCAAGGCCACACAGACAACAGTGGAACCTAGCACAGACAAAACCAAATCCCCTCCTATAGAAACTATTGCTGGGAAGTAAAGAAGAAGGCTGTGTTTCCTTTCTTTGCTCCACTGGCCCCTCATCCTTCCTTAGGACTGCTGAGTACACATGCCCTTTGAACCAGCCTTAGCTTTGTGACTAACTGGGACAGAGTATTAGCCCCATGTTTAGCAATAAACATTTAAATGTCCCAACCCCAGAAGTTATGAAACTTCCTGACTCTGCAGCTCCAGCTCCCTGGAAGCCGTGGCTCCTCTCCTGATGGCCAGTCAGACTCTGGCTTTTGGTAAGGGATTACTCCACAGACAATAATATGCCCAAATACTGGAAAGAGTTCTGGGAACAATCTTGAAAAACAAATTATTTATACACACACTTTCCTCCCAATCCCTCAAAGGAACAGTCTTCCCTCCATGAAGGCATCTGAACCTATGTATACAAGTGGTTTCAGGCCTGGACTAGTTCAACTTTTCTCCCCTGACGACAGATAATTACAGTGCATGCTCTATTTTTTGGCATACTTTCCACTCTCTTTCCTTGTATTTGGAGGAAGGGACAATGGAGGGATCATTCTCTCTATTGTCAAGACCAAGGGTCACAAATGGAAGAGAGGCCTAGCAGGCATTTAAATGACCAACACATGATTTGGGAAATTACAGTAAACTGGTGGGAACATTCCCTGCCTAAAGCAGGCAACTGCTACTCAGTTCCATCTGAGTGTTGTCCTTTAGAAATGTGGACCCAGTGTTAGATCTCCTGACTTTTCAGGAAAAGCCCCAAATCCAAATTTTATGTGAGATAGTCCAGTTTAAATATTGGAAACCAAATCAATTATTTAAAAATACTGTAAGGATCAAAGAAACAGATCTGCTGGTTGGAATCAGCCAGCAGGGTGCCTATTTGTAATCTCTGGTCTAGAGTGAAGGCTCCCTGGGCAGTTCCAGCCCTGTGCTTATCTTACCTGAGGACTGTAGACACATGGTCTCCTCACTTCCTTTCCTTTCCTCTTCCTGTTGACCCTGGGCTCATTTCTTTCCTTTGCTGTTTCCTGCTGGAAGGCCCAAAGCTGTGAGGGAGTTTTTCTTTTTCTTTTTTTTTTTTTGAAATGGAGTCTCGCTCTGTCACCTAGGCTGGAGTGCAGTGGTGCAATCTCTGCTTACTGCAAGTTCTGCCTCCCGGGTTCATGCCATTCTCCTGCCTCAGCTGCCAGAGTAGCTGGGACTACAGGCGCCCGCCATTACGCCCGGCTAATTTTTTGTATTTTTAGTAGAGATGGGGTTTCACCGTGTTAGCCAGGATGGTCTTGATCTCCTGACCTTGTGATCCACCCGCCTCGGCCTCCCAAAGTGCCGGGATTACAGGAGTGAGCCACTATGCCTGGTGGGAGTTTTTCTAATAGAAAATTGTACATAAGTTGTTGCAAGCATGAAAAAAAATAAAAAGATGTTGGTCTCTGTTCTAGAGAGCAGGGAGTTGAAGGGGAATCATAGAGAGAGGAATGTCATCTCAAGAATATCAGTCTAGGCTTGGAAAAAAATTGGTTCTCTTATTAGCAGTATAGTATGACCTCGGGCAGCTTCTTTGGGTCTGTTTCCTCATCTTCAAAATGGAGATGGTATCTGCCTCACAAGACTGTTGCTTGAGATCAAATGTGTAAAGCACTTATGTGAGCAATCTACTAAATGCTCCAGGTAGAAGCAATTTCTGCAATGTTTTATTAAGGGAGTGACTGGCTGTGATTTCTCCATCTTGTATTTCCCTTCTACCTTAGCTCTTTCTCCTACTCCCTTCCTACAAACACCCACACCCTTTCCTCAGGAAGGGAACTGAGATTTCCAGAGGGGAATGGTGAGAAAGGAGAATGCTAGACAGGAAATGAGAACTGAAGATATTGATTTTGTTGCTACCTGGGCTGAGATACAGCCACAGGCAAAAATCAAGACGGTAAATCCTCTAGAGGTCTATGAAGAAAGGGGACCAGAGAAAGCCAGTCTATGTTTATTTCAGGTCCTGCTGGTCAATCTTTGTGAAGGAACCTTCTTAATGTCGGTAAGTGTCTGGGTTCAGATCCCCTGCAGGTCTACCACTCTAGTTTCCACTTATTTAAACAAACATTAAGTTCTTTGTTGAGCGAGAATCTGTGCTAAAAAGACCGCATCTCTCTCAAGGAGCCCATGGACATATAAACACAGATGACTTCACTATAAGACAATCAGTGATAGTGCCTTTTAAGCAAGGGATAAAAACCAAGTACCACCGGGGTGGAGAGGATTCCTTGCTAATGTCTAGAGTCAAACTGAAGGCCAAGAAACAGCTTGTGTTGTTTCTGTCCCATGTGGCTGATTATTTGTGGGTGGAGTAGGGGTGTAGAATTCACGCCCTCCTTATGCTTTTCTGCCAACCCGCTTCACTCTACACTTCCTTCCTGCTTGACCTTGGAGCTCCGTCCTCTTCTAGGTTGGTGATGAAAAAGACATCCTGCCACCGAAGCTTCAGGATGGCATCTTAGACTCTCTCGGTCAGGGGATCAATGAGTTAAAGAGTAAGTCCTTACTCTTATTTTGGGTCTCTCCAGGGAGTGCAAGGGAGTGATTCTCAGTCATTCCCTTCCAGAACGAAAATGAACTCACTCAGAAGTCCTAGAACCAGCCCTAGAGGCCTAGAACCTAGGGCAAGTCTGAATTTGGGATTGTATTCTTCCTAAGTAATGGCAGAGAACCCATACCCAGATTGCCATTTCAGTCAGTTATGAACCCTACCCCACGGCTTTCCACAGGAGCTTTCAGCCTGCATGAAAGCCATTCTTGGAGGTGAGTTTGGGTAATTTCATCCTTCTGCTACCCTCTGAGATGGCCTTTATATTTCCTGCAGCTGCAGAACAAATCAACGAGCATGTTTCAGGCCCTTTTGTACAGTTCTTTGTCAAGACTGTGGGTCACTATGCTTCCTATATCAAGCGGGAGGCAAATGGGCAAGGCCACTTCCAAGAACGATCCTTCTGTAAGGCTGTGACCTCCAAGACCAACCGCCGATTTGTGAAGAAGTTTGTGAAGACACAGCTCTTCTCACTTTTCATCCAGGAAGCTGAGAAAAGCAAGAATCCTCCTGCAGGTAGTGACAGTCCCCATCAGTCTAAGCCCATAGAAGGTTACCTCTAGAATAAAGAGGAGGGGAAAGAAAGAATACTTCTCTTTAGAAACCCACAAAATAGGTGTAGGCAGACTTTTATTAGTGGAGTTGAAATGACATAACCCGAAACCTACGAAAATGTCTAATGGGTTGCCATTTTGTGGAAGCTGGTTTACTCATTAGCCAACAGGACTGAGCCCTTTCCTTTGTTTCAGTCTAGAGCTAATTCCTGCTAAGTATCTATCCTCTGTTTATGGGCTCCTTTTTGGACAGAACTGAATGTTTGGATCTCCAGAAGCCTGTGAGGCCAGAGACATCCCGGCAGAGATGGGAGTATGGGGAGCAGACAGGGTATTTCTGATCCTTATTCCTGAGCTCATTATAGTCTGCCTGATCAGATCAGATGCCTCTAACACCCGTATCTGAACCCACAGGCTATTTCCAACAGAAAATACTTGAATATGAGGAACAGAAGAAACAGAAGAAGCCAAGGGAAAAAACTGTGAAATAAGAGCTGTGGTGAACAAGAATGACTACAGCTACACACCATTTCTGGACTTCAGCCCCTGCCAGTGTGGCAGGATCAGCAAAGCTATCAGCACCCCCAAATCCATAACCTCACTCTGAGTCTTGGTATCCAGGTATTGCTTCAAATTGGTGTCTGACATTTGGATCCCTGGTATCGATTTCTCAGGACTTTGGAGGGCTCTGACACCATGCTCACAGAACTGGGCTCAGAGCTGCATTTTTTGCAGAGGTGACAGGTAGGAAACAGTAGTACATGTGTTGTAGACACTTGGTTAGAAGCTGCTGCAACTGCCCTCTCCCATCATTATAACATCTTCAACAGAGAACCCACTTTGTGTTTGAAAGGCTCAGCCTCTCCACATGAAGAAGTCTATGGACGTGTAAGGATGAGAGTAAAGAGGAAAATCTTATTTTTATGTGTGTCTTTGGCTTTTACTACGGGTGGAGAATGAGGAAAATAAGGCAATGAATATGAGAATCAAGTGGACTACAAGTGGAGGACCTGGCCATGGTGGTCCTGAACCTGGGGATATGTTTGGAGTGATAGAATCATGGGGGGCAGCAGCTCTACTTCTTCTAAGAGGAAGGGTAAGAGATACTGGTAAAAGCAGCAGCAGCACTCGACACAGGGCATCCAAGTCCTTGGTTTGGAGTCAGGTGTGCTTTCCAGAATCCTGGGAGGAGAGGCTCTTCACTGAAAGGAAGCAGCTTCAGTCTAGAGTAATTTGAGGATAGGAATTTCAGTCAACAGCAGCCTGTGAAGAACACTACATAGCTTCCATAAGTAGGTCGGTTTCCCCATCACTTTGTTTGCACTAGTCCTTTACCTTCAGTCTTGGACATCCTACCTCCAACTGATCTTTATTTTGAGCAGCACAGTTCAATTCTTTAGCTAAAGATGAAGGGATCTCTGCACTGACATTCTTCCCCTTTGAGAAAAGAATCCTAATTTTAAGAGTCTGAAGGAGTTTAGTGGTCACCTAGTCTCCCCTCCCTTGATACCTCTACCGATAGTTTCTACTCAAGCATTGGGATGCTTTTTTAGAAGAATCTTATCTTCAAAAATTCTACCTTTTTAATGCGTGTATTTGTGGCCCTCAGAAGTTCCTAAATTCTGTACAAAGAACACAAAAGTTTCTGGAGGGTGGAACAGGGCATATTGAAGTTAAAGCCAATGTAATTTGCTTTTGGGAGTGCAGAGACCTAATGAAAGTGGCAGATGTCCCACTGTCCACACACCATGCTTAGCTACACTACTATTCTTCACAGCTTCTAGGAATTACATTTTTTTTTTTGGTAGTTTATGGTAGTGGTGCCTAAATATGGTTGTACCTTCAAAGGCTTCAGAAAAGGAACTGGAATCCTGAGAATCTTGTGAAAACACCCTCTAATGCCTCATCACAAATATACCAAATTATCTCCAGTGACAGGACCTGGAAATCTGTACTTTCTTAAAAGGTTCTTCAGGTAAGGTTTGCTGAGGCTTATTACAAATGTACCCTTGATTTGATGCTAATGCTGTATTTAGGGCTGAAGGATGCACACACTAAATATCTGAGTGCTTTTCAGATTCCATCTATGCTGAAAAAGAATGTAAGAGAATAAACATATTTCAATTAGCCCTCAACATCTTGCTTTAGAACTTTAGCCCACTAAAGCCCAGTATAGTATAGGAGAGAACACTGCACCAGGTTTCAAATCTGGATTCTAATTTTTGTTCTGAAAAATAGCAACTGACACTGGCATGCCATTTAACCTCTCCAGGCCTCAATTTCCACTACAGATAATACCCGATGTGTCAGTAAGACAACTGATGTAACTTTGCCAAACAAGTAGAATTATCCTTCCTCCTTTGTCCTGCTCTGTCCTAGCTTTCAATACTTGATCTGCCCTAACATTTTCCTGTATGTACTTCTTTATCCCAGATATTGGAACAATTGCTAGCAAGGAAAGGTAATGATGGATTTTCATTTCCCAATATAGTCTGGCAAAGAAATTAAAGGTTTACTTCTCCTTGCTAATCCAATCTACACGGGATGGATGCAAGCAAGGAGCGCTCTGGCTGCCATACAAGACAGTGTAGCTATTGTTTATTCCTGATTATGGGACAGGATATAGATGAAAATCAATAATAAGACATTCATTTTAGCCAATAGTTTAAATCTTTTCTCCTGTGTTCCTCTTCTTCAAGCAACTGAATTATCTGTATAAAATGGAAACATATCTGGTTCCCATTTCAAACTATAGTACAGATACCAAAGAGGAGAGTGCCAGAAAAGGAGAGTACAAAGTAACCCCTTAGAGAGGCCCAGGCACTTGCTGAAAATTTAGGGGAAGGGTCTGAGATTTCTAAGTGACTGATAATTACATAGGTGATGACTACAACACAAAAAAACCATTGACAGGAAAGATGAACATAGTTCTCCTTTTTAAAGTTAAAGTTTCTACAAAATAGAAATGTCACAAGACACATTAGAACAATGCAGTGGACCAAATTTTCTTATTTATTAAAGAACAGAAATAAATTTTGCTTAAATTTAAAAAAATAATATTAAAACTTAGTTTATCTTTTCACTGAATAAAACTGAGAAAAAGTTGGCTTTCAGATCATATATTTATTTAAAAAAATAAAATGGGAAATTGACAAAGTTACCACATTATTCTGCATGCTAACAGGATTTCCCAAGCCTGTGAGAGAATCATTTCTTGAGCAATTAAAAAAAAAAAAAAAAAAGAACTTCCTCAACAATGTAAAAATAGGAAACCTTTCAATCCAAATTCAAGGTCTTTATTACTAGTTCCACCTCACAAGCTAGTGGGATGTATCTGTGTCACAAGCTGAACTCCTTAGTAAAGAAAGCTTGAGAAGACACTAAACAAGGATGTTACTAAAAGACGATGATTTGTTAAAATTATAAAGCAATCATCTTTTGGCCTGCAAATAGTCAACATTAGAACTCTCCACCACTGTGGATCTGGCTCCCCATCACAATGTTATTCTGAATCCAGGATAATTACAATCACATGGCATTTTTTTTCTGCATGCTTTCTTGGCCCAAACCCTGCATGATAACATATACAATTTACAAGATGGGACTTGAAATTCCCATTCTCACACAGGATAGTTAGGGAGTGTTACCAATAATAAAGAATAAAAGTTATACAACATTGATTATTATAAATTATATTTGTTCTTATCCACCCCCATTCTCCTTAATATGTTCAGATTCCTTCCTGCAGAAAACATGGTGTTCCTATATAATACCAATTACATCATTAATGATGATTAGAATGAGCTGTAGAAACCTTGATTCTGAAGACATGTATGTGCAGGTGAGACGCAATCTGATTGCAAACACTGACACAGTAGCGGATCAAATCAAAGAAAGAGAAAACCTGGAAAGAAAAGAGACATTCTCAGCACTCGTTTAGGCTCTCCCTAAGCTTCCTGAAAGTAAAGAGGAGTGGACTCTGTTTTCTCTGCAGATTGACCTTCTATTCTAAACAATAATTCAATTTCCTCGCAATCTTTCCTTCACATACAAACTCTTTGTTAGAGAGACAGATGACAAATATTTTAAGCTTTATGGGCCTTATTGTCTTTGAAACAGTTGCTTAACTCTGCCATTGTAGCATGAAACCAGCCAAAGATAATATATAAATGAATGGCCATAGCTGTGTTCCAATAAAACTGTATTTACCAAAACAGGCTATGGGCCCACAGGGTGTAGTATGCCGATTCATGCTTTTTTACTCAGTCAGCAATTTGCAATTTATGAGCCCTGCCTGATGTAGGCAGGACTAGTAAGATTAATGCAAAAAATAAAAGGCTCAAATATAAAGTCATAGAACTCTCACACAGCCCCATTTATGTGGATTTCTGACATTCCAAATCATTACAATTATATGAACTATCTCTCATGACTGGCTCATCAAAATAAGAAAACAAGCAACCTTCAAATCCTCAAACCATGAAATAAGACTTAGTACAATACCTACCAGGGCAATCCAAAGTACAATATATTCATCAATAAAGCTGTTAAAATACTGGTCCAGAAACAAAAGTGCCGGACCTATGAATGCTGTGTCATGCAAATGCATTTCACTTTTCGTCATGTGTGCAACCTATGAATAAAACAGAATAACGTAGGCATTTTCATAGAAGGACAATTGTGGACTACAGAGTAAATCATATTGTGCTCAGATATCAACTTCCAGTAATTATTTAGGAATAGCTGTTGAATTCCCAAAACTAAAAACCCAACAATAAGAAATGTGTCTGAGAAACCCGCCAAAAGATGCTTTTCACAAGGAGCCTTAATTTGAGTGTCCAGATTGAGACTGAAGAATGTAGATAAACTGAACAACCAAATTAAACAGTGGATAAAAGGGTGAAAAGTTGTATGTTTTCCAAGAACTTCCAGTAACTTCAAATTGTAGCTTCACAAAGGGTAAAAATAGTTCCCATGTTGATATCAAGAGATTCTGATTGGAGGAGGGCAAACTCTAGAACCATTTAGGAAGCACAGAATGAAAACTATGGCCATAAAACCAAAATAAGATAAAAGTGAAAAACAAAACAAATAAAAACTCAGGTGCTTACCACAAGCTTATTAGTGATTTTAGCAGACACAAAACCAAATGTCAGTATATAAAGACAGGGATGCTTTTCAAAAAGCTGAACTGCGGATTTCTTGTAGATCATTGCAGCTAATGTAATCACTGATCCAATATGGAGAAAAGGAGAAAGGACACTTGTTCCCTGTACAGAGTGAAGAGAAGAGTTAATAGTATTCAGTACTCATCAGATACTGCATGGATCTGCTCCAGAACAGTTCAACTCAAACTTCCAGGAACCTCATGGTACCTGATAGGCAGCAATTTCTATAAATCACAAACTAGAAGAGCTAATGAAAAGTAGCAGCATAAATTGATTAGGCACAAACTGAAGATTTCACTTGAGAGACTAGGCTTATTTTTACAAAGCAGCTCATACTTTAAAAAACATGTGAATAAGAGTGTGTGTGTGTGTGTGTGTGTATGCATAAAACTATGACTATATAAAGCATATAAATGTGGGTAAGTATATATAAAATTGAAGTTTTGAACATTAGTTTCTTTAAAGGCTATGTATAAATTATAAATTAACAAATGATTTTATACATTTGAAATAAAAAACAAAATGACAACAAAACCAAGTCCTAGTGTAAACAAGTGTTGAAAATCTTAAGGCATACTTACTGCTATTGTGGATCCATTTTTGCCAACACCACCTGTGAAGATTACACGGAAGTAATTTGTACAGGAAAATATGGTCCCTGCTACAGTACAAAGTGCAGGAAAAATTTTCATTTGAATATTCAGCACTGGAATCTTTAATGGGTAGAGAGAGAAAACAATTAAAACATATACAAAC